ACAGCTTTAATAATAATAAATAAATAAATAAAATAAAGGAAAACTATTAAAAGTTCAGCCGACTGCTCGTAGTAGAAGGAAGATACAAAATGTTAAAATGGGAGGAAAGAGAATTCAATGTGAGCGCACTATTTATGTGAATCAGCCACGTTGTACTGTCAACGATTAGATTTTGCAGGATTGTGCTGAGCTCGATTATATTTTGCAATGCTAACGTCTCTTGTGCTCTAATAGTTTATATTTAGTAAAATCGCGACCGGGTGACGGGGGGCCAAATACTTATTTTATATTATGAATATTTTTGGCACAAAATTAACGTTTTGGGCGTGGCACCAGAACAGGGGTTTTTCGCCTCTGCCGGCGCCTGCGGCGGGCATGTGTGTGTATATTTTTTTTTATGTTGATATTCTATTCTATAATCTATATTCTGTAAGTCAGGTATACCTATATTATGTTCAATCATCAATTAAACTATAAAACATGTTTTTAAAAATAAAGAAAATTTGTGGAAATTAAAGTCAAAGGAAAATTGAAAAAGTTGGGGTTTGTGCAGGATTTGAACCTGCGACCTCCGCATTGCTAGTACGACACTCTACCAACTGAGCTAACAAGCCCGCCTGGTAGAGATCGGCGAATACATGATCACTTTCATTCTCCTCCCACTCACCCCAAACGTTTTTCAATTTTCCAATGGCTCACGAATGTGGCATCGGTCCTGCTAGGGTAAGTCACCTATACCACTATGTGCAGGTTTCGTCCACGATGTGTTAAAATTTCTTATGTACGCCATGCGACGTAAGCATAGTTGAACAAAGGGAGAATTTTTGTCGGTTATAGGTACCGAAACTAGTTTTACAAAGAAAATTTGTGGAAATTAAAGTCAAAGGAAAATTGAAAAAGTTGGGGTTTGTGCAGGATTTGAACCTGCGACCTCCGCATTGCTAGTACGACACTCTACCAACTGAGCTAACAAGCCCGCCTGGTAGAGATCGGCGAATACATGATCACTTTCATTCTCCTCCCACTCACCCCAAACGTTTTTCAATTTTCCAATGGCTCACGAATGTGGCATCGGTCCTGCTAGGGTAAGTCACCTATACCACTATGTGCAGGTTTCGTCCACGATGTGTTAAAATTTCTTATGTACGCCATGCGACGTAAGCATAGTTGAACAAAGGGAGAATTTTTGTCGGTTATAGGTACCGAAACTAGTTTTACAAAGAAAATTTGTGGAAATTAAAGTCAAAGGAAAATTGAAAAAGTTGGGGTTTGTGCAGGATTTGAACCTGCGACCTCCGCATTGCTAGCACGACACTCTACCAACTGAGCTGACAAGCCCGCCTGGTAGAGATCGGCGAATACATGATCAGTTTCATTCTCCTCCCACTCACCCCAAACGTTTTTCAATTTTCCAATGGCTAACGAATGTGGCATCGGTCCTGCTAGGGTAAGTCACCTATACCACTATGTGCAGGTTTCGTCCACGATGTGTTAAAATTTCTTATGTACGCCATGCGACGTAAGCATAGTTGAACAAAGGGAGAATTTTTGTCGGTTATAGGTACCGAAACTAGTTTTACAAAGAAAATTTGTGGAAATTAAAGTCAAAGGAAAATTGAAAAAGTTGGGGTTTGTGCAGGATTTGAACCTGCGACCTCCGCATTGCTAGTACGACACTCTACCAACTGAGCTAACAAGCCCGCCTGGTAGAGATCGGCGAATACATGATCACTTTCATTCTCCTCCCACTCACCCCAAACGTTTTTCAATTTTCCAATGGCTCACGAATGTGGCATCGGTCCTGCTAGGGTAAGTCACCTATACCACTATGTGCAGGTCGCAGGTTCAAATCCTGCACAAACCCCAACTTTTTCAATTTTCCTTTGACTTTAATTTCCACAAATTTTCTTTGTAAAACTAGTTTCGGTACCTATAACCGACAAAAATTCTCCCTTTGTTCATGTTTTTAAAAATAGCCATGCATATTTGTATTTTTACTTGTTGGGGGCGGCAGACAGAATATTTGCCTAGGGCGCCAAAGTCGCTTGCGCCGACCCTGGCTGGTATAATTGCCAAAGTGGCATTACCAGTTTTGTCAACTTTTTGATAGATTGTCATTAAATTAATTTTTGAAACGACAGGGTTTCTTTCTAACTTCCTCGTCCCTCAATCATCCCATCGCAGCACGAAGTTCATGTTCGTCCAGAACCATTAAGGAACTGACGGCAAAGGAACACAACACGGTATCTTCATCAAAATCTCTTGCCGTGTATAGTCTACCCTCGATTTCCAGTTTATATCCTCTTAATTTGGCGGTTTTATTCTGTTCTAAAGCTTGTTTAAGATGTTTCCTTAGAATGCTTGCATCATTCCTATCTTCTTCACATAAATCATTTGATATTGATATGCCCAACTTGTTCAAGTTTTTTAACTTCTCTTTATCGTGGAAAATTTCAAGCTTTCTGTAGAAGGATATAAACTCGATGATTATGGGAGCATTTGTTGTTTTGCCCAAGGTGTATACATTGTTTATATCTGATTTGCTGAAATTCGTTTCTAAGTGTTGGTTTAATATGTTTAACATTTGTTCTGGAAATTGCTTTTCATCTTTGTCAACGATCCCAAATATTATAACATTATTTTTTCTTAATTTTCTCTCAAGAAATTTACAGCGGCTTTCAATTTTAACCACCTTTTTATTTGTTATAGCTAAAAGTGTATCTACACTTCTAATGCTTGTATTTATGTCTTATGGACTTCTGTTTGCTTTTTATTAGCCACATCCAATAATTTTCCAATTTGCTCTATAGTAATTTCAGACATTTATGAATTTATTTTTCACGGGCTGCTGTGAATCTTGAATATAATTTTCATGTGACACTGTATATTTCGGTTCACTGATGGGTTCGTGTCACTTTTACACACTTTTTAACTGGTATAAAATACTTTTGAAAGCCTTTTTATCAGAGCGACAAAACTACGTGCGTCGACCTCGGTATGCGAAAATGAATATGAATGAATAACTCTTGTTGATTTGGAGAATCGTTCAAATAATTTTCCCAGTTGTTTGGTAGAATATCTAAAAAATATAGTTCACCTTGATAAATACTGTTTACTAAAGAGAAATACAAAATACATAAAACATGACTTGCGAAGTAAATCATGCTGCTATAAATTCCTCGGTAATCTCTTGTGGTGCTCTTCAAACAATCTTCAGCACATAAATCCCTTACTACATGTACCCGCTGAACTTTTGTTTTTTAGCTACATTAGTAATATACGGCTTGAACTGATTATTATAATAATCCGTGAAGCTTTTGATTTGTGATTTTGGTTTAAGAAGATGAACAAATGCTGCTCCATCAAACACAATACCATTTTTTTTTTGTGCTAGTTTTATTCTAGTAAAATTTGGGCACAATTAGTTTTGTCTCCTGGAAGTATTGCATAGATACGAATAAAAATAAATATAAATGAATAAAATGTATTTATGTTTCTTGAAAAATAAATTCAATACATGAATTTATTGACCCAATATTTAAATATTAGGATAAAACAACGTATTACAAGCCTGAAGCACTACTTATATATGAATAGAACTCTAGCGCATACTCAGGATATACTTGAATTGTCGAACCGGCCCTTAGTGTCACTTTGTCAAGGAAAACTCCTGTGATACGATTAAAGGGGAATTGACAATTTTTTATATCTCTACCCTACCTCATCTTGAGGAAGACTAAAACGAATTATTATGTACTAGTTAAATGTTTATTGTTTGAGTTCTACCATTTTGTTTAAAACAAATTTTGTATTGTTATTCGAATCTAGGTACAGGGATTCGGAATATTATATTATTTTTTATTTGTGTTACTGCTTTGCTGTTCCAAGTGTAGTTTAGTTTAGTTCAAGTCGATTATCAGGGATTGAAGACACATCCGTTTCAGGCAAAGATGTAAGGGGTTGGCATATTAGAAAATGACCTGACTTTAGACGCAGGTCGAGAGTTGAGAATGCTTTCTATATTGAGCCAACACCGTTGTCAATTCCACAAATGTTACGATCGTTTTACCAAATTCTCCACATGAAATTTTGTTGTATATGACTGCTTCCCAAAGTCACATCCAGTGAGGACTTGTAGGCGGAATAAACTTCCACTGCATTTCTTTGGAGGACAGGTGGTCGATAACTGTATTCAAATTTGTTCGAGATTTGAATAATGTATATACCTCGTCTAGAGAATTATGGGCTCCAGGGAGATTTGTAGCGTTGTCACTAAATATTGAAACTGGTTTACCACGTCTAGCAACAAACCTCCCAAGAGTAGAAAATCATGTTGACAATCTTCAGCCGAGTTAAAGATGGACGGCTTTCGAGTTCATGCATACAAAAAGTGCTCTATATACTTTCGACAATGGAGATTTTCTCAAACGAAATTCCTCAACCATCAGAGGTCCACCAACGTCAACGCGGACAGAAAAGTTCTTTCTTCAGAAACACGTTCAGGTGGGAGATATCATAAGCTGTTCTGACTTGGTTTCGGAGCCTAAAACATATAACGCAGGCATTGATGTATCTTTTTCAATTGTCTGATAGCGTTCAGCGGCCAAAATCTCACTTTTAATAGCAATGTAAAGCTATAGTAAAGGTGCACGGGGTCTCTTCGTCTAACCGCGGGTACCCCGCATCTGCACGGGGAATTCAATTTCGCTGAAGTGATGTTGGAGACAGTGGAGAAATCGTTACGCCATTCGTGCGGGTCGGAACTTACCCGACAAGGAATTTCGCTACCTTAGGACCGTCAGTGTTACGGCCGCCGTTTACTGGGGCTTCAATTTAGAGCTTGCACCCCTCCTATTAACCTTCCAGCACCGGGCAGGCGTCAGACCCTATACTTCCACTTACGTGTTTGCAGAGTCCTGTGTTTTTAGTAAACAATCTGATTCATGAATGATTTTAGAAATCGAATAATAATGAGAATTGGAAATAATTTAAAATGCTGACTTATTTAGCTTTTTTCGCGGAGAGGATCCCAAACGTATCCCGAACGAAGGCATGAACTACGCAAGTTTACTAATCAATAGAGATATGAAACTTTCAAATAATACGTGCGTAGGTCATGCCTTAGCGTTCAGGATACGTTTGGGATCGTCTCCCCGAAAAAAGTGATCATGTCATAATATATTCAGCATATCGATGTGTGTCGATGAACCTCCTGGGTAGATGACCTGTTGATGGCTCCTGTCGTTGATGGCTATATGATTCGTAACATACATACTGTAAGTTACTTTCTTCAGGCGCACAAATATTTTCAATAAGACTCGATTTTATTTAAAAAAATTATATTTGCCACAAAGAAAAACAGTATCGCTATTTCCGAATCGACTGATCACCACCAGTAGAACATCAGGACTGACTCATCCTTTTATTGCTGATAACACTTGACCTTATTCGTTTTGTCATCCGGAATTTTTTTGTTAGATCTTCGCTACAATACATTTTATCTGCTTGAAGAATTTCTAAATTAAGGGACCTCGATTACAATCTACGATGCTCTTGTTGAATCAGTTATGGGATAGGGAATCTTGGTATAAGGTGGCCTCTATAACAACACCTTATACAAATTGAATATAATACAGAAATATATATTGAACATAATCTACAAAAAGGATAAAATATACCCAGCACAATTACTATTTACTGAGGAAATATAAAACAATATGTGAAGGTGAAGAAATTCGTGAAGCGGAAGCTTCCCCAAGTCTGAATGAGGTGTTTTAGAGCACCTGGTACCAGAGGACCGCCAAGAACTGGGCCCACGCACGCCTTTTGTATGAGCCAATCTTCATAGACATCAGCACTAACACGAACGTATCAGGAGCCCAAACTATGGAAGCGGTAACGGTCGTTCCACATGGCATATGAAGGCTTCGCACCAGAATGCAAAGACCTTGACGGCTGGTTTTCAAACCCTGTGCAGACATTCTTCAAGACTTCAAGACATTTGTATGTATTCATTCTGCAACAAGAATTCGTTATTTTTTTATGCTTATTATTTCATGAATGAATTAGTAGTAGATATTTAGTAAAGAATGTAATTATTTTTGATAAAGTTCAAGTTAATATGCGTATTCTTTCGATCTGAAAAAACTGAACGAAGTCACTTGAGGTTTGTTTCAAACAATTTTCATCCGGTGTTAAAACGATTTCATTGGCCCCAGCTGTTTTTTCGACGCCTCATGAACAAACCTCATGTGATCACAATCAGTTTGTTCAGATCGAAAGAATACCAGGAATGACTTCAGATAAAATTGAGTTGCGAAGGTCAATTCTCACTTACGCTTCACTGAGCTCGGCGACGCGACACGACGCCGCACTGCAAATTATCGCTAGATAAATATTTAATTGGTTTAAATGCGACGCATCGTAAAGTGTAGTGCAGTGTAGGTGGGAATCTATTCATTTAAAACAATGAAATATTTATCTAGCGACAATTTGCAGCATGGCGTCGTGTCGCGTCGCCGAGCTGAGTGAAGCATAAGTGAGAATAGGGTACTTGCGTGAAAAATTAAATTGATTATTGTTTATTACAAACTGTAGGAAATCGAAAAAAAATCGATACCCCATTTTTTTATTTTGTCTAAATATGATTATTCCGAAAGTTATACAAATATTAAGTTTTGTATATATAGATATATTGAGCATATGTGACGTCAGGGGATATGAAAAATAAGTACATTTCAAAGCGTTGTATCTCCGTCAATTTTTGACTAACAAGAGAAAGAAAAAACACGTACTGACTTGTTTTTTATTGACTAACGATATCAGCAATGAAAAAACTGATGCAAGGGGCCTATTGACCTTTAGTTTTCATTTGATTTTGTGTAAAATTTACTTTCAGGTTTGTCTGAGTCAACTTTCATGTTAGGGTAACATAGAACGAAAATATCCTGGTAATATGAATAACGTTACAGTTCAGTGAAATAGTAACTAATCTGAACAAGTAAAACGGTCAAGTACCGGAAATTTTCCTATAGTATGGGTCAAAGTTTGGTCGATAAAGCTGCTAAAGGCTACACGTGGTCAAACTTTGACGTGGTGGCAGAATGACTAGTTTTAAAATTCTCTATAATAGAGACCTTATTAGATTCTTACTTATGTCAAGGAAAGAAAAGGCAAAAATCTAGTTTACAATTAATATGTACCAATAAATAAAGGTATACCATTTAAAAATAATTTTCCAGAGCTATTTAAACATCAAGGTTTCATAAAATTTTGTGAAAATTATATCACGTCTCGCGTCTCGGATGCAGATTTGAAAATGAAAGAAATACCTTTTATTCAAATTCGACAAAATAATAGAAATGCATATTGTTGATTATATAAAAAAATATTGAAGTAGATTATATAAAATTATGTATGCGCATGTTAGAGAAACAAATATCAAATTCAGAACAATTACCAATAAATGGATAAGTAAATTGGAAAAAAAGGGGAATGAAAAAAAATTAAAACATTGTTTTTATAGGCACAACATTTAGGTATGTAGAGATATAAAATTTCAGACAAAACCCAAAAAAATTATAAACTTTAATGCATTTTGAAGGCATTTCTGCAAACTTTTTGGAAAAATCGGCGCCTGTACAATCTTCAAACTGTACAAAAAGTTTCAGATCTTCACCTTTGATAAAACACGAAGTGAAAAATTAACCATGCAAGACGATATAAGTTTGTGCCTGTTTTGAAAAAGAATCACTGCATAGCCAAATTTAGGAATAAAAATCAACTTCCCTATTTTAAAATAACAGCCCGGATATGACCTATAAATAAAAACAATTTTTCAGCCTTAATGTGATTAGAAGTAGATACAAAATAAAAATTAGGTGGAACATTTAAACAAACCAATAAACATACTTAAATAAAAAAAGGAAGATACTAGTCTTCAAAAGCTAAATTTTTGGAAATCAATAACCACAGAAAACCCGTTATATTGCTTAATGATCAGGTAGACTTGAGAGTTTCCCCATTAGGTATCAAACATAAATTAACATCAGCCCTAATTGGCATAAAAATTAAGTATGTATGTTGTTTGCAATAAATTATTAGCTGTAATGTATATAAAAGTAAGAAATTTGTGATTTGTCAGTATCTATCTGAAGATGACGCGTGTGTCGAAAAATAATATATTATGTCGTTATGAATAAAATAATTAGTGAAAATTTAATAAACACAGTGTGTTGGATTTTAACGGCATGCAGAGGTTTAATTAAAATTGGAAAAGTTTATTCTCCAACACACTGTAAATTATATCAGACGATAAAACTTGTAAAAATTGTTTAATAAAAACTTTTTATAAAGTATGGATATTATTAAATAGTCGAAGATGATAAGTACCTATCTTTAATTTGGAAATATGTATGTACCATTGTATCAAAAAGCTTACCTCATTGAAAATTATGCAGTAGGAAATTCCGGTTCAGGCCTACTAATTGAAGGCGTATTCAAACTAGATGATTGGGTATTCGACAGAGAGCTGGAGTCATCAGATGATATAACCACATCCTGACTATCTTCATCAAATAGTTCGGTAAAATCTAATAAGTTATTTGTAGGAGCCTGCTCAATTCCAGAAACCATAGGATTAGCTGAAAATAATTTAACGATATAAATTTACAAAAATGGTTATTGATATATTGCTTCCAATAATGAAACAAAACTTGTTAACATTTATTAACAAGTACAAAAAATAAAAAAATTGTGTGTGTTTAAGACCACACGACAGAAGTGAAAACGGGATCAATAATATGAAATACGTGTATTTTTTTGTCTTCTATATTCATTGCACAAGATTGATCTTCCTTTGTATAATACTCTAAAGATGGAGAGCTTTATGGTTACTAAAAGATGTGATAAATGCTTTTTATTCAAATCTATTTGGTAAACAATCAAATCTATCTGGTAAATAATCTTTAGATTTTGTCTGTATCCCATTTACATATTAGGAGCACACGCGTATTACATTACATTACGCTCAAGGAAAAGAATCAAATTATTTATTGTCAAAAATTACTTTAAATAAAATGTACTGACTGTTTCTCTCTCTCTCGCTTGGCTGAAGTCGACTCGAGCCGACTGTACCGAATAAGCGTTACATAGCAGAACATCACGCCGCAGTTTCATTCAGTATTCACAAAAAAGTGTGCTGAATGCACCTAAAGACGTTTTCAATCCAAAAAACAAATGTTCAATAACGCTTATACAAATTGCAGAGTACATATAGGTACAAAAATAAATATTATAATGAGTGCACACTGTGCAGTCAAATGAGTCAAGTAATTTCCATTTGAAAATATCTTATTTTGATGTTTCCAAAAAAACATGAGGATACTTAATACCTAAATGTAAAAATCCCTACGCTTCAAAAATAGTGGACCGATATTCACATCATTACAAAAAATTCCCATGGACAGCAACATATGTACAGTGAGGACTGGCTCAATCCGTGAGAAAGTTTTAAAGTTTTTTATACATATTAGGGCGATTATAATAGCACCGTCATAATAATTTGGTTTAGGTGCAAGTGGAATCATTTTAAATTGACGAGCGTGATAGTAAATTAATTGTTGTTTGTTTATAGATACGGTTGTTTAAATTTATTTTATTGTGCAATCTAGATATTTGTCAACAACCTCTTGGTTGACATTTGTAACTGTACCTGTTGTGTGGGTACAGCGGGCTAATGCCAAGGCTAGTTATGGAAGTTTTTATAACTCTAAGCCTAATCCACTCGTTTATCACCAACCGAATGCTGCAAGTGAGGAAAGAAGACAGCCATTCCAGAACTGTAATGATGACCGCCTTAATCGCTCAAGGCTTTCCACTATCCCATATAGTCTTCAACACCCACGATATTCGATTAGAGATCCAGCCTGGACCCAACCCTCTTCGTTGACGACAAAGCTGTCATCACAAGAGGCAGGAGCTCAGACTGATCACTCCAGAACTACACCAACGCTCTGGAGCAATAGATGCAGAGATGCAAGATGACCCCGAACAAGACGCAGGCTCTAATATTCCGATGAACTCGCCACACACCTAACGGACAAGTGAAACATCCCACCAGGACGTTTCTTAGATAACCAAGATAACATTCCTCAGCCCCCATTACCACCAAACCCTGCGCATCACCGGAGCCAAACGGGAAAAAACACCTCGGACGCTTCTTCCTTTGCTCTCTGAGAAGAGCACCTTCAGCAACGAACTGCTGCTATGCAAATCTATCGTCAACTGCATTAGCCAGCCATATCAAAAAAGCCACCGCTTCCCGGAACAAGGGCCTTCGTATCAACGCAGGCGCACCTTGCAACATGAGAAACTTGACACTTCATCAAAAACTTGAAACACATCAGGAAGGTAAACACTGGACACTTCTAAAACTCGGCAATTAAAGATCGGACTAGGAAGCTTCAAAGATACTGCGAAGCGATACAGTAGCAGTGCAAAAACAAAAGATAACACTCCTAATAATACCACGGCTCTACCGCTCTGCGTAAATACCAATTCAAATATGATATAGTTTTGTAGGTAAAAACTAATTTGTGCATGAAAAATTATTCCACAATTATTATTTCCGTAAAAAACAAAATCCTGCATTATTATTGAATTGCTTGAATGAGAAAAAAAGGCTGCATAAATTAGGTATATCCTTATCAGCTACGGAATTTCAAGCATTCCAATCCAAAAACAATTTATAACTATGTGCGTCAAAACTAAGCACAGCTTTTCAAAATTGATCGACAGAGGAAAGCAGCTCTTACTCTCTGGCAAAATGTGATAAATGTAAAGCACTCTTGTGTGTAACTGGCGCTGAATAATTTTCCAAAGAGTTTTTCATGAAATCAAAAAAGCCTGCGTGAAAAGCGGAGAGGGCACGAAAAAACTAACCAAAAACCTAGTTTGATCTGACAGGTTCATTTCTTTCATCCGGGTGAGCAGGCTAAGCTGTTATCCCAAATTGAAGAACTACCCAGCTCAAAGAGCACGAAAAATTCCAACAAAGGGAACTTGCCATGCGTTACCTACATCTTCGACGTCTTTGGCTCCTGCAGTAAAAGAACAGGTGAAAGCACTTCAAATTACTTATGAACATCTTATATATAAATTTGAATTACAACAGACATAATATTATGCCTTGAGAAGAACCTCGCAAAAGTTCGAAATGTAGCTACATGTGAGGATGCTGAGAAGGACTGACCGGCTCAAAAAAACAGTAGTAATCTTGTTGCAGCCAAGCTTGTCCCAAAAGTATCAGTCTCCATCTTCAGGATCTCTAAGGAAGTTACGAAGTTATGAGGAAAAATTTTGAGCCCAATGAGAGTTTTGTTGTTGAGAATATAGCTGTAATGTCCGGCGAGTATAACACGTTTAAAATAAATGCCAAAGGAGATTTGAGCCACACTTTTGTCCCTCAAAACTAGCCGGAAGGTATAGCTATCCAGACATTTGTAATCAGAGACAAAGCCCAAACAACCTGGAAATTATGTATAGCACTCAAAGAGGATGAAGAAGATAAACAAGCTATTCACATCAACACACAAAGCCTTTCAAACAAAATGCCGCAGTAGAAAGTGCTCTTGAAAAAGGAAAGACTGCACTACTTATGTGTCTCTGAACATAAGATCAAAAAAGAAAAAGCACAGTAATAATTATCTTCCCTGACTATCACCTAGAGAATTATTTTCATAAGTAGGACAATATCGATGGAGGTACTGCTATATATAGTGAACACAGAGACATAGATTTCCAATACAATTCAAATTATTGAATTATAAGTAGCCCAAAATTAATTACAATTTCTACAATAAAAACGCATCTAGATGTCATGATCAATATTATGTATATATGCATGTTTGTACCTTCTCAAATGATTATCTGTTTGAATGCGTGGAGGCTATCTTGTGAGCTAGACGTCACAGTCGCAGTAGCTCTTGTAACTATTTATCGCTCACCAAACATTAGCCTGGATAATTATTTAAAAAAATTGATAAACACTTTAACTCAGAATTGGGAGATTTGACAAAATGATAAATCTCAGTATTTACCTTCTGATTTGTGGCGACTTAAACATAAACTTTCTGATCGACGTTGAGGAGAATAAATCACCCACCACATCTTCCAGCTCCCTGAAAACAAGCTACTAGTGGTGTTCGAAGAAGTCCTGGAATCGACCTCGACGAACGCCGTCAAAGAAGAACTGAAGAGCTTAGGCTTCCACGTCGTCTGCATCTCCAGATGGCGCTGGAAGACGGGCGCGGGGAAAGACAAGCCTATACAGTACATTCCCGTCCTCCTCCCAAGGACAGAGAAAGACATTTACAGCTTCCTTACCGTCAAAGATATCACAATCCAACTTGAAGCCCAAGGAACCAAGACAAGAGGAGGCCAATGCCACAACTGTTAGCTTCACGGACATGCCAGTTTCAACTGTAAAGCTCACCCAAGACTAACCAACAACCCCCAAAATGCGCAAACTGCGGGGTGCGACATCCCTCGGGAAGGATGCCAGAGTTATCCCATGCACTTCTTCAAACTGACAGAGCCTGGGGAACAACCACAACCACCGCCGCCACAGCAAGAGCCTCTCATCTATATGACCCGTCAACGAGGGTCTCGCAAAGTCACTCCGCCAAATCTCCTTCTCCATAGATGGACAAAAGCTACCAAGACCCATTTTCCATAATTTATTTTCTCCAATCACTAAAAAATTTAATTTTGCACTTGTACAAGCAAAAAATATCGAAGCACAGCCTTATCAATTTTAAGACTGCTTTACAGTTCGCTATTTTTCTTCCTGCCGGTTTTCTGCCTGCAAGTTTATGGTGGCTATAAATATGGTTTCCTATAGGTACTAAAAATTAAATCATAATAAATTGATTCAGATTATGGACAGCCTAATTCTATATTGTTATTTTTACCTACAATAATTTAGTCCCGTTGCTTGAATAGTCAGGAAACCTTGAGACCAGTGCGTTCAGCACTAATTAAGGGAGTATTATTTATTGAAATTGTAAATTGATTTTGTTTAATAAAGAATTTACAAAAAAAACAAAAGAAAAACAAAAATGAAAGCTGTTGCTGATATTCTTCTAACAGGTGCTAACACTAATCAAGGTAATCAAGCTTACTTTATGATAAAGGTTCTAAAGGTTAAATTGCCCAGTTCCTTTCTTCAGTTTTCGGAAGGATCGACAACAAATAAATTATATGGAAGTAAAGTAGGATAGTAACTAATCGTTGTCTGTTGTCTGGAAAAGTTATATAAAGCTTTTGCTTTTTTCATGCTTTTGTTGAATTGGGGTTTTAAAATAGGTATCTACAATAATCTAGTATGACCTTTATAGTTGATTCAATAATTACAATAATAAGAATATTCAAGTCAATTAGGTATCTTCAAAATTATATGTTGTAGTGTTTTTGTAGGATTGTACCAGAGCTACACTACAGTTGTGAAAATCTTCTTTCACATTCCTATAGATAAATTATTTTTACTTGCCTCGGTAGTAAGGGAATTATTGTTTTGACGTAAATAATCGCCCTCAAGATTTTGTTCACATTTATATGTTTTCAGGTCATGTTTTCCCAATTCCATCGGTCTGTCTGTCTGTCTGTTGACGCTCTAGCCACAGCCTCCTATAGTTAACAAGCCATGAAATTGGAAATGACGGCAACGTCGCGTATGGTGCTATTTTGTTATTGGGTTATGTGTTTCTGTGTATTGCTTTCATTGTGTATTGTTGCAATTTAGTATTTTTATGGGCATTATTGACGAAAAAGTGGATAGAAACACACCAATATATTGCCCATATTTAGTTGATACCTGTTCCTTTGTGCTTTGATTGCAAATTTTTAGCAAATGGGTACAGGAGCAAAAATGAAGGTAAGGTAAGGTAAAACAATAAAAACAATATTAATATTTGTCTGCAAGAGCATAGGTCTCGATATATTACCTAAGATATTTGAACTTGTTCCAGATGCCATGAAACTACTGTGTTCCTGGGTGCAAATCGAACTATTAGGAGTTCCTTAAAAACTGAAGAAATGCAAACATTTTTATTTCCAAAAAAATTCTGAAGTGCAAAAAATGTGGATGAAAGCAATACACCAAGATAATTATACCCGAGATTATACAATAACGAAAAATTCTGTGGTGTGTTGTAAACATTTTGAAGAAACCGAAATAATTAGATTTGAAACAAACAAGGATAAAGGCGTAGTTCGAGAGTTCAAACTAAAACGTCCAACTCTTAAAAGTAGGTACCTCTTATTTTCGAAAATCAGCTCAAGTATTTGAATGGACTTGCCTTTCGAAAAAATCCCGAAGAAAGAAAAAGTTAGATTTTCAAAAGACATACTGAAACATAGGCCTATAACACTTTAGACTCTAGAAATATATTCATTTAAATCAATTATTTACTGTTCTTATTTACACAAATAGTTAAATTATTCATTGAATTACTGTTTTTGGCCCTTTAGTACAATAAATTATGTATTTTTTGTGATTCATATTAATAAAATAAAAAATATATATTTATACAAACAAACACCACCAGCACCACTTGGCGGTAAGATTGCGGTGTTGCCTTTTTAACTTCATGGCTTGTTAAATGTAGGGGGCTGTGCTCTAGCTCGATGACGGCTTGTAGTGTATTGGAATTTAAATCATAAATATTTATATTACTTTGTATAAACACAAGATAAACATCTGAAAAGGTGAGCTCAGTCGATATACGATTAGGGATAGGAAATGATTGAATTAAATAATCATTATTGAGATTGAACAAAGGAGTTTTATTTCGAAAATCAAGAACAATACACGGCTCAACCCAGAACGACGATTTTTGGTATACACGTTGGACGCCTATCGATAATGCTAATGTTCGCAGATATACTAGGTGTACCAAAAACTATGAGTCACTAACAAGACTGATAAAGAGTTGGTTATATTAGCAAAAACTTACCGTTCTTGGATTTTACTACATTTACGTTTTTGTTGTTGTCGATTTTTTATTCCTTTTCAAGATATGAGGCCCTTAGTGTTCAAAAATATTTTGTCGTATATTTTCAAAACTACTTATTTCAGAAAAATTGTTCAAATTTGAAAGCTGTTTACGTCCATCTGCTCTACAAGAACTTTGATATTTATCGAAAAAAGGGTGGATTTGATGAAAGAAGTCATGGGTAAAGGATTTTATCAATTTTTTGAATTATGAACTACTATTGCAAAATTGCATGGTATATTCCTGCATAAAAGTATTAGCATATGCGAAAAAAATTCAAAAAACAACCTCACCTTTATCAATCACTGAACTGTCCTTCTGTGAGTCACTTTCAACTTCGGGACCTAACTCATTGCTATTAAACAGCTGAAACAATAAAATACGTAATTTAGTGGGTAATTTTCAAATCAAATATAAGTTACCCCAAATAAAGTATTACTGTCGAATGTGCGACTTCCATCCAATATTTCTTTTAAATCGTCCAATTCACATTGGGTATTATCCAAATGCAGATCTAGATCGCTCCTGAAACAATCAATAGTATAAGGTGACGGGTCAAAAAAAAAGTCAAAGAGTGCTTTGATTACGAAAACGTACGTCGCATTATTGTTTCTTTATTGGTCAGGATTTTTGACATGACATTCAATGACAAAATTAAAGAAAAATATTGCTAAGACATGCGTTTAAAAAATTCATAGCCATCTTTGATTTACTTTGTTTTTGCAGACCCGTTATAATAACGTAATCAAATCATAATATTAAATATAATTGAGTCTAAAGGCAGGTTTATTCACCTTCTGATAAACTGTCATGTATGCAATCTGACGGATAAAAACGCAATCTGTAATCTCATTCGTCGGCCAGTTATCCGCTGACCAATAGAAATATGGAACGGTAAATTTATCTTGCAGATAAGTACCAGTAAGTTTGTCTGAAGACGAATAAACCGGGCCTATTAAAAAAATCACTGGGCTCATTTAGAAGCAGTTAAGTTTAATAAGTTTAGTACTTAATAAATTAAGTTTTTAAGGGATAAAAAAAGTAATTTCGTGATACATATTAAGCCAAGGTTAGAATAATATGTTTCCAGAGTTGCTAGGAAGCTCATAAAAACTCGGCCTAGCAAAAAGAATTCAGATCATCCAGGAGACCTGGGATCATCCATGTACTTCACAAGAGACCTAGTTTGTAACATATTATTTATTTAAACTATCTAAACCAACCACATTACATATCAATTCAATCCACTGGATACAGAGATGACAACTATCAACTTTGCATTCAATTCTTCAACAATAAACAACTGTGGTGGCGCTGATTCCAGTTCAAACATGGAAATGGCAACGTCGCATATACATTGTATCCGTCGAGCGCTTGTACTTCGCCAGTGTAGGGGAGCAAACACTGGCGACCACTTATTCTCAACCCCTGAGTTCAGGGTGTTCTCCATCAAAAGGAATTGTGAGACTATGCACTATGCCCCAGGCCCTAGGTACCCCCAACGGTAATGTGAGTTAACCATTGACACAAGGGCATCAACAGCGGTACGTCCCAACAAAGTTTCCAAGGAGTCTGTGATGATATTTAGAAATGGAAATAAATGTATTGAAAACATTTAAAGCAGATTTAATATGTGTTTTGGAAAGACTACGTGCGGGGTTGTGAATAGGCAGCACCGAACTGAAGGTAGCAGATGAGTCTATATTAGGTGTGGGTTTCAAATAAACCTACCATTTCTTTTCTGTGGACTTTCGAGATAGAATGCTGAGAGTAAGCAACAAAGAAAAACTCTTCTCGTCTCGCCACCTTCGAATAAGAACTGTAAAGTTTAAATCATTGTCAGCGAAGATACACGAATTTTAGGTAGTACTGAATCGATCGTTAAGGCACACCTAGAAAGACAGCTAGAAGGCGCATGCCGAATAGTCAAGGAATCAACGGAAAACAGAATGGAACCTTTATGGCATACTGTTCAGTCAATTCCAACAAAATTTTCCAATCGAGGGTAGCCAATCAGGATTAATGGAAGAACTGTCTTTAAGCAGGCTTGCGCCATCTTTGGATCGTAAGAGATTGAGTCGTTGAGTGGTTGGTCCGTATACCATCTTAGTAGCCTGAAAGAAGGCCCTGGTGCTGTTGGATTCAGCTAGTTGTTGCATTTCGGTTTATTTTGTTACCCACCATTGGTTCTTTAATGCTCGAGTTCCATTACCATTCTTAATACTTATTACACAGAGTGAGTTTTAAGTATGGAACGTCTCAATTACCTCGAAAACGGCTTGCACGATTTTTATGAATTTTGGTCTGAAAGAGTATTGTAATATGGCCGATAATATGGTAGTATTTACATGGTTGTCAGATCTTTCGTTATTCGGAAAATATCAGAAACTTTGTTTTTTCAAATGGACCACCCTGTATATTATAACATTTCTGGGTTCTGCGGAAAATTCTAGACATATTTCATGTGCAATGTCATATACCTATCTTCAACTGTTTCGGAAATATTGACGGTTGAAAGTTGACTTTTTTTCATCTTTGACACACTGTGAAACTTGAACGGTTGATTTTAGAGCAAAACCGATCACATAATCCTTATCTTAGTTTTTCATCAACTATCATTTGACACCAACTTTGAATTAAATCCGGTCCGGTTAAATCGGTTAAATTTAATCTCTGGTTAAATTTATGGTTCGTGTCAAATGATAGCTTATGAAAAGCTACAGACGAGAAAGTAAAATCGGTTTCGCTGTAAAATTAGCTGTTTAGGTTTGACAGCCTGTCAAAGTTGCAAAAAAGGCAATTTCCAACTGTCAATATTTCCGAAACAGTCGAGGATAGGTATATGATATTGTACATGAAATATGTCTAGAATTTCCGCAGAATCCAGAAATGTCAATATACAGGGTGATCCATTTGAAATAACAAATTTTCTGATATTTCCCAAAAAACGAAAGATCTGACAACCATGAAAATACTACCATATTATCGGCCATATCACAATACCCTTTCAAACCAAAATGCATAAAAATCGTGCAAGCCGTTTTCGAGATAATTGAGACGTTCCATACTTAAAACTCACTCTGTATGTATATTCCTGTGAATAGAGTGTCCACAAATATTAAGAAAATGTGTGACACGCTAGAGTTTTTCAATGTGCCACATAAGAAAATCAAGAAGTGCGAAAAAAGGGCAGTTTTAAGTTAGTAAGTTCAAATTAATAATACTGTCAAGCTTACTGGTAAATTGGTAAATGTTGATACATTAATAAATAAATAAATATATATGTAAGATTTCGAATCATTTAGGCCAGTATCGGCTCCTTCTTTCGTAAAATAACTTTGGTTCCCTGTGAACCAGGCAGCGTTTTGCTTTACATTACATTCCATTTTTTCACCATATTTCAGATGATTTACAAGCTTGAAATAGAGGAAATAAACTTTTCCCCAATTGCCTGATGATATTTTATTGAAAATCCATGTTTATCTTTGTAAAGATAATTTGAATGTGATTACATATTATTTAACTTTGGAAAGATAAGTTAAATTACAAATAATTTACTTCTGAGTTGGGGAATGAAATTGTGGAATTAAAATTAGCCTAACCTCATTTTTGTTTGTTATTTTGTTCATAAACAGGACAGAAAGCAATATAAAATGTCAGCGGTTGACGTGATCGTACCTTGTGACGTCACAAAAAATGGCGCATCGTTCTCGTGTGACGTCAAATTGTCGATGCGAATTTTCCCACATTAAACATAAGTTGATAATAAGTTCTTTTGGATATTTTTTTTTTGTGGAGGGTTATTTAGTGTTTATTAAACTTTAGAAGGTACCTATTTAAGAAGTTCTGAGTTAAAAATGAAGATGTAAGCAAGGGGCCTATTATCCCAACTGCAGTTGATTAGCATGCTCCCTAACATTCCTTGAAATTGGCAATTTTTTATTCTAACCTACCACCAACAAAGTCTCGATTTTTAAGATGTCCTTAGTACTTTTCAAATGCAATACATTCATAAAGTTTATACCAAAATCTCGGTTCAGTACCAAACTAATTTAAAAAGTGCATATGCATTAGGTAGAAGTATTGCTCTGAGGCCCGGTTTATTCATCTTCAGATAAGCTTGCTAATAACTATCTGTAAGAAAAATTTACTGTTCTATAATTTTATTGGTCAGCGAACAACTAGTCGACCAATGGGATTACAAATTGAGTTTTTATCCATCAGATTGCATACCTTACAGTTTATCAGAAGGTTAATAAACTGGCTCTAAATCAAATTCATATATATTTGTAATGCAATTGCAAGTAAAGTTGAAACATTAAAGTAATCCAATCGAATAAATTAAAGCAAATTATGAGCTATGAGTTTAACACTTACCCATCGGAAATCTTTGGGGTTTGATTTTTTGTTGCTACCAGAATGTTGGGGGTACTACTCGGCGCAGAAACCTGACTTGTGCATAAATTGATTTTATCATTTGTTATGGTCTTTCCGTCCGAAGCATTGACGTTGTACATTGAGGGTGACATAAAGCTGCCGATGAGAGTATCGCTGTCATCTTCGTTTTCTGCTAATTCAATTGCATGTTCAATAGTCTGTAAGTAAAACTCGTTAAGTCAAAGCACTAGCAAACGATTCAAAACGTACCACAACATCTGGTTTATCCCAAAATGTAACTTCAGATGTTGAACTTTCTACATTCGAGTTAGCTGACAAGGTCTGAGATCCAGGTGAATCATGAGCAAATTGAGAATTGGGACTGTCAATCTGAAAAGAAGAAAAACTATTTAGTAAAGACTAGCTTTGCTGCAAGCCTCCAGAAAGGCGTACAAAAATCACCAATATTCACAGATCTGAAAAAGTCTGGCTGCCCAATGCTTTGTCTGCCAAAAATATTACATTTTGCGTTGACTATGACAAACACACTACAGCGAAGGTGTTTGAAGACTGGTTCATGTCCAAATTGTTACCGAATATTCAATCAAACACTATAATCGTGACGGACAATGCAAGTTGCCACAGTCAGCAGAACACATTGTGCTGGAGAGTCTAGGGATACATATATGCACAACACTTCCATATATTTTCACAGGGATACATTAGAAAAAAAATTATTAGAAAAGCATTTATTATCGAAAAACATTATGCTGACAATTGGGTAGAAAGGTTAGGCACAAGAATCGCTAACCTTGTTTGAATCTGATTTAACAGGAGTTCAAAAAGATTCCAGACAATAGGTGGGCAAACTGTGTCAAACGTAAAGTGAGTAAAGTATATAGCAAAAGTCTAAGGTTGAATAGAGAACGAAAACGATTTCCCCAGTTCCCCTCCCAGCGCTCCATGCCTCGCTCTACCTCTGCTTCCATAATTTTCATGTTTTTGTGCGACACTAATGGAGTTGTCTCATCTGCAAACAGCACCAGTCTGTCTTTTATGGCTTGATTCATATCGTTTATGTATATAAAAACAGCAGTGGTGCAAGTATTGATCCCTGCGGCACACCCCTACCCACGGCACCCCTGGCAGAGACGACTCCTCCCAAAAAAGTCTGATGGTTCCTTCATGTATCATGTAGATAATTTTTTATTAGGTCTAGGCTATGTTTGAGTAGATTTTTAAAATATGATCTTCGCAGCAAAAACAAAAGAAAGAACATTAGTTTGACAACTAAGTTGTCAAGTATTTATATGTTTTTGTATTCTATGAGCAAGTAGTAACTCTCCACGAGTCAACAAAAAATATTGAAAATTGCGTCTTCCCTGCTCAAGAATCAAAGAAAAAACAAGCCCTCCGCCTATCCAAGTAATTATTTGCTTTTCCAATTTACAGGTGAATAAAAACCCCATCGAAAATCGGTACAGTCCACATACACAAAAATGTAACTTCAGATGTTGAACTTTCTACATTCGAGTTAGCTGACAAGGTCTGAAATGTTGTCTAGCAATTTCTCTCGTGTGAATCGTTCAACAAACAGGCTATTTGGTTGTATACTGTAGAATGCTAGTTTTGCTAGAAGGATCTCATGGGAAATGCAGTCAAAGGCCTTGATGACATGTTCCATAAGCTCGCATACTGCTTCTGTAGTTGATATATTTCTTCTGAAGCCAAATTGTGAATCCGTAAAGATATTATTTGATTCAAAGTCATCATCATCACTCGATACCGAGTATGATTGCCTGCTATTCTATTCTCATTCTCGTCGATTGTGCGTTTTCTGATGGCTATATAAACCAATTCTAGAGCCGCACACTCTTCCACAGTCTTGGCACACCCAGTCTCTGGCAGCATTGTCTCTCCCTCTGTTCTCTCGCTATAATCGTGTATAACAATAACAAACTATTGTGTTATGTACGGCTGACCTGCATACCATCAGGAATAGAGCTATATGCTCATCCCAAACGTCCTGCTCCTGCTTGTCAACTACTTTGGAGGGATGTTCTTGGATTGTCTGGTTGAATTTCTCAACCATTCCATCTGATTTTGGATGCAATGCTGTGGTTCTGGTCTTGTGAATGCCTAGCAAGCAGTTCGCAAAGTTTTTGAAATAGTCGTGACTCAAAACTGCGCCCTTGATTCGAATGAAGTCCCATTGGGATTTCAAACCTAGTGAAAACATTATTGACGAGGACTTTTGCAACTTTAGATGCTTCTTGATTTGGAATAGTGAACACTTTAGGCTACTTTCTAAAATAATCGATGGCAACCAAGATGTATTTGTTGCCACTCCGCGTAGTAGGAAATGGGCCGGCTATATACAGTCGTGAGCATAAAAAGTGGGACACCCGACTGACAGGTCTTGTCATTTTTCGCTATTTTGGTTGAATCAGTCTTTTCTCTAGAATGGATTTTTTGTCAAATATGACAATCCCTGTCATTGCCGTAGGTATAGCTGATGCGCTCGTTTTGCAATAGGAAAAAACGGGTGTCCCACCTTTTATGCTGTATATTGTATATTGCCGACTGTATATTGTATATTGCCATTCGTTCGAAAGGCATCCCCACATTCAACTAGCAGGGTCCCAATGAGCCCATATCGCCTTGAAAGTTAAACTTCTAGGTGATATTTCTTGCCAGGTTGGTCTGAATTTTCCCGATTCCTTCGGATTCAAAAATGGCTTGATGTCACTATCTTGTAATTATTGGTCACTTCTAAGCTGCTCGGAACTCCATTCTCGATTCGTTTTAAATCAAACGCTTCTAATAGGAAGATAGGAATGTAACTTCTCCAGTCATCTGGCTACCTGTGCTTTTGGTTGTTTCATGTTTAGAAGCCATTTGAGCGATGCATGGTCTGTTCCAATCAGAAATTCTTGTCCATACAGGTACTTGTAGAAATGGTCAAGGGGCAACGGCTCTGACTATTGCTACCAGTTCCTTTCTTGTAACACAGTGATTTTGCTCGGGCTTGGTAAGCACTCTACTGTGGTATTCAATGACCCTATCTTCTCCATCTTGTATTTGCGACAGGATAGCTCCGATGACTGTGTTGCTCGCGTCTGTGTCCAAAATAAATTTTCCGGAAAAACTACTTGTGCACTTGTTTTTAGATGTCAAATCCAATGATAAAGTCACTATTTCAGTTCAATAAAGGTTCACTGATTGTTCCCACTAATTAGCTAAAATTAATACACCAATTGTCTTGATAATTATTCCACTAATTAGCTCAAACTAGTCCAGTAGTTATCTTGCCAATTATTTCACTATTCAGCTCAAATTAATTCACCATTTATTGTCTTGCTGAATGATCCTACTGATTATCTCAAATGAATGCACCAATTGTCATACTGATAATCGCACTTCTGACACCACATTGTCACAAACTCGAAGTTCACTAAAACTCACTTCACAAACAGTAACAACTTTTGTTAAACTAATTGACTTTATGAAATTCACTTATCAATTATTGAAACGAACACCAGAAATATCGAATTAAAACTAAAACTAAAATTATTACTACGTGCTATTTATAGTCAAAATCGCACTCCGGATCTATCTAGAAAAATATCGATTCGAATATAACAGAATTCCCAGAAAAGGCGCGCTGCTCGACGTAAGCAATGACCTAATTTCTTAGAATCCTGGCCGGGTTGTCGATGCGTTTTCGTTACAGTATTTTGTATTTTGATTGTGTATTTTGATTATGGTATTTTGCTCAAATGGATTATACCTATATATATTTTTATGTATTTTTGAAGTATGAAATTCGAGATGTTACTTTTTATTTTATTATGTTCTAGACAAAATTTTGAATTTTTTTAATATCGTGCTATCTCTCTCTCACACACTGCTGACAGTTTCTCTCCCTCGCTTAGCTTGGAGTCGGGTCGAGCCGACTGTACTACGAGCTGTACTCGAATGAGCTTACCTATTGGGGCGTGACAGTCCAATCTCCATTCACTACCCAAAAAAAAGGTACTGAACGGGCCTAACGAAGTTTTCACTTCAAAAAATATATGGAGAAAAAATATAGGAACATTTTTTTTCAAACCCCAAACTTTTTGTATTTCTACATAACTTTGTTGATCATCCTGAATAATATTTAAAATAGTGAACTTTTCGAAAAATCACTTTTTGTCCCATAATCTAGAAAAGTAGACTCTCAATCCAGGAATCGCCTTGAAAAAGTAACTTTGTCAAAAAATAAATAAACCAGTTTGAAAGATTAAATGGGCCGCACATATTGTTGAACAGTTTATAACATATTAAAGGGGATCAAGAAATATTGACAACAACGTTTTTATTATTTATACAATGTCAGTCAGTCATCTATCCACTATAATCAAACTTCAATACTTACTAATGGTATATCATCTTCCATAGCTGCCTCTTCAATCAACTGTTCAGGAGATAATATTTCAGCCTCAGAATCCAATTCATGAATTGTAGGTCCACCATCATTACTACTTCGACTAGTCCTCCAAAGTCGTTTTTTTTTTGCTGGACTTTCATTTAACATGAGTGGCATACGTTGTTCAACTACACCCATTCTTTGTGAGGAGGATGGCTGTACCATTGTGGACAGAAATTGTATAAGCTAATAAAAACGAACAAAAGTATCCTCATATAATATTTTTAGATAAAAATGTTGTTATATATTGTGCTTTTTGGGTAAATCAATACCAATTGTGTATAAAATTATGACTTCCATACCTTGTTCACTATTCGCTGTTGCTTCACATGCTTTTGTCTGAGCAATGCTAACTCCCTCCATAGAACAGAATTTTCTTGTTTCATTGCAGATAGCTGAGAATCGACAGTTGATTGCCTCCCACGAAGCTGTCTTACTTCCTTCAGGGCGTTATTTACCTCATCTGATCCAGTTACATTTTGTACTTCATTATTTCTATGGGAGGTTTGTGGCTAAAAAATCATTAGGACACTCAGTTTAGAGACTTCTGGAATTGAAATAAATTTCACAAAAATAGTAAATGCACCAATAATTGACAGAATTAGACTATCTTATGGAATTTAAATGTATCTTTGGGGACCCAGTAATTGACACCTATTATCCAATTATTGACACCCCAGTTATTGACACAAAAAACATTTTTTTTTCTTAGTACATGAGTATATAAAATGAGTAATAATAAGCCACACCTACTAGAACTTCATTCATCTGCTCTTTGGAGAAATTTTTTTTGGTGTCGTGTCAGTAATAAATGAAATTCCAGTAATTGACACCTTGTGTACCAATAATTGACACCCATGTCAATAACTATGGAACCAGTGATTTTTTCAAACTCATATGTTGTGCTCATAATAAGATGTGAACGTTCTGTCAAATATTGCACTGTTTTGCTATGATTGCGTTAAATTTGTTATGAGATCCATTCATTGACACATCAGTCAATAATTGGACATGGTCATAATCACTTGATCCAGTCTTTGACACCCACGCCAATCTCAGATAATGTGTTTTACTAATAAATACACATGAAAAAACCTTTTAATCATACTTAAACTCTGCCCTCAAACATATGGAATAAATTAAACATAGATACATTTAGCAATAAAAAATAATATTTGATTTGTTGGCCTTAATAAATCTCTTAATTTTTCTCATCCGACAGGTAACCAGTCTTTTCAGATTTTTAAATGACTGGCAGATATCATCTGATTTCTTTCATAGCTGGTAGTTATTGTTATTATACAGTTTACATTATTGTTTCAATACTGAAACTTCTATTGTTTCGGAATACAAAGCCCAACACTTTATAAGCCCTATTCACAATGTTAACAAAATGATCATTAAATTTTAATGTTGATTCAAAAGTTACTCCAAGGTCTTTGACTTTACTATTTCTTTTCAATGATACACCATCTACATAGTAATCGTGTATAATAATATTTTGTTTTCGAGTGAAACTAACAACTGAACATTTATCAACATTGAGGGACATCTTATTCACACAAAACCAATTGACCAGACAGTCATGATCACATAATACTGGTCTAAACAGTTTGAAATCATCTGCATACAACAAACTGGCTGATGTGGTTACAGAATATGGTAAATCGTTAATAAAAATAATAAATAAAAGTGGTCCTAGCTTACTACCTTGAGGTACCCCAGAGGTCGCAATGAACTGCTCTGATTTAGCCTGTGCAACTTTTACAACCTGAGTTCTGTTAAAAAGATATGATTTCATAAAACTGTAAGCTTCCTTGGAGAATCCGAAATCAACCAGTTTATCTAGCAGAATACAATGGTCTACTTTGTCAAATGCCTTTGCACAGTCAGTATACTATATAACATCTAGCTGAGACTTATTAATTATTGTCTCACACGCATGTTCTGAAAATATACATAGATTTGTGGCCGTGGACTTATCAGGAACAAATCCATGTTGTGAAACTGATATTAATGGTTGGACCAGCTCAAAAAGTTTAATGATTGAATGAATTCAATAATGATTGAAAACAGAATTTTATTCACAGTTTTATATATCGCCAATGGAAATAAAATTCTAGATAATTTACAAACGCTATAATAAAATATACGAAATTTTGTTACCTTTCTCTTAATCTTTTTGAGTAGTTCAGGTTCGTCTCTTTGAAAATAGGGGTGATGAAACTGTATAGATTTAACATCATCTTTTTCTGCCAAACCACAATTTTCCAAGCTCGAGACCTTGTGGAATCCATCTGGAAAAAAAAAGTTTGATAAATTATGTATATGCAGGAATTTGAAAAGTCAATTTAATTTTTATTGAGCAAGGGGTCAGGCTGAACTTTCACGTACGACTCTACTTTAACCCAAAAGCTTCCACAGAAGAATATAACTCCGGACTATATTTTTATGCAGGGACATTTGTATTTTTTCAATTTTTGTCGATTGAGAATTTTTTTTAGGGTAGCGCAATATGTCAACTCCACTATAGACTTCAAATATTCCAGATTTAACCCCATGCGACTACTTTCTTAGGGTGGTTTCAACGGCTTATGGAAATCAAACTATACTTCAAACTGTCAAAGAACTTCGCCAAAGAATTCTCCAGTGTTGGGAGGAAACCAGTCCAGATCAGACCCGAAAAGCTATCGAAAGTTGACGATGACATGTGGAATTAGTAGCTGAAGCTAATGCCGACCAAATAAATATATAATTTTCTCTCTATTAGCATCTCCTCTGAATTCTCCACTTAGGATCAAGTTCAATTGGTTGAAACATCTTTACAATCAGGAAAATCAAACTAGAGTACTTCGAGCAAATATATTTAATATAATTTTAGCCGAGTGCTTTCATCCTCTTAGCCATCCTCAGTGCTAACTGAAAAGAGAGAACAGCAGGTCCGTTGCTTGAAAGTTAGGCGAAAAAATGTCCTTGCTGGAAAGCAATTGCACAGCAGTTTAGATGATGACATTCAAAAAAAAATGTATCAAAGATATAATTATGTATTTATAGTTCAAATCTATTAAAAGTTTAGATTATACTTTTTTTACCTTGATTTGCAGGACTGGCCCCTTAAAACCAATAATATTGATTATTCGCCAGGCCCAAGTAACGCGATAACTTGTCACATTTTATGTATCCCTACTTCAACCTACCCGTTGCAACTCGCACCTCGGCTTCAGGTTGGTGTAGAGTCTTGACAGCAGAACAACTATCGGTAAATGAATGAACTTTTCTGTGAAAGTACCAATGTCATCATTGTTTCACGAAACATTTGATAGTGAAAATCACTAATATGTAATTATTACAATGACATAAAGGGAAACAGGTATGTAAGATACATAGGTATATTTTTATTTTTAATCATTTTATACTTACACAGGTTTAGCTGTCTAACAAAACTGCTCATATTGTTGTGCTTGAAGTATAAGGGCAGCAATTCATACCAAAACTGTGCTTGATTATGAATTATAAAGGTATTTCCACACTGAAAAAAAATTATCTAAATTATAATAATTATAAAGGGAAAAAAGCAACAAAATACAGTACAACCTCGATAATCCGACCATGCGTTAATCCGAACCTCCGCTAATCCGAACAGCGAATGCTCGAAGGCATAATCCGAACAAATCTTGATAATCTGAACAACTGCTGAAAACCGCATTACGCTACGCGCGCTACGTAAAATTTAATACGTAATAATGTTCTCAAAGCCGGATCAGAAGAATCCGAAGAAGAATCTGAAGAAATCGTGCCGACCAACGTGACTTACAGAGAAGCAGTAAAATGTTTCCAGAGTTGTTTAAAATGAGCAGAACAAAATTCTGGAACAGCTGAGAACATTTTTATTCTAAAGCTCGGATTATTCATCTTCCTGGTACCTAACTATCTGAAAGATAAAATTACCGTTTTATAATTCTATTGGTCGGCGGATAACTGGCCGACCAATGGGATTACAGATTGACAACTTATCAGAAGGTGAATAAACCGGCCCTCAAAGAAATGAAAAAGAAGGCGGAAATAGGAGAAGCAGCCAGTATGAAGCAAAAAAAAAGTACATTACATAATTGTTTTACTCATCTAACCTAAGTTAAACTCAGAGTTAATTACGTACATTAATATTTGTCTTAAAAAATAAAGCTTATTTTTGATTATTCGCATATTTAAGGTAAAGTCACTATGCATTTTGATAATGCGAACAAATCGGTAATCCGAACTGACCTTAGTAATAATTAGTTCGGATTATCGAGGTTGTACTGTATTACAAACTTAAACGCCATCAAACGTTCCAACATGACTATCATACGACCATACTATTGAGAGTAGAAAAAGTTTAATTGGGGGGGGGGGGGGGGGACTCAGAGCTGGGCAGTATTTGCATTCCGAAATACCTTTTAAGCCCAATTTATAAACTCACCGTCGAACGTTAACGTTTGCGTTTAGCACGCCGTTACCAAGTGAATATAGTGCAGGAAAAAGTCGCTACCTTCATGATTTTTTTTTTTTTGAGGTATAACCAAATGAAACCTTTATTACATCACTAGATACGTCATTGGACATCCGAAATGGCTGTTTTCAACTTTTTTTAACGGTACCGATTATTTCTAAATCAAAAAATATGTAAAATTTGTGAAAATAATTGTTTCGTACTTTTTTACACATAACTCGTAATATCTCGGAAACTAATTGAGATAATTGAACATTTTTTTTTTTAATCGATGGAGAAAATGTGGACGAACGTAACTGTTCTAATTCGGTTTCCTCGAAATACATAGTTTTTTCTGCATATTGGGAGGAAACTCGGACAGATAGTTTTTTGCAGCACTTTTTTCGGTAAGCGAGAAACTTTTTTGTTTTTAGGAATTTTGCCATACTATCACGTATGAATTAAAGGTAAGGCTCCGAGAAAGTTTTTAAAAAAAACTTCAGTACGATACGATGCCTACTGTTCAAGTTATCGGTACTTGAAGTTGAAAACATCTCTGGCCACGCTACCCTTCTCCCTTGACGCGCCTCCTGTGCGAGTTTCCTCCCAATATGCAGAAACAACTATGTATTTCGAGGAAACCAAATTAGCACAGTTACGTTCGCTCATGTTTCCTCCATCGATTAAAAAAAAATTGTTCAATTATCTCAGTTTCCGAGATATTGCGAGTTATGTGTAAAAAAGTACGAAACAATTATTTTCACAAATTTTACATATTTTTCGATCTAGAAAAAATCGGTACCGTTAAAAAAAGTCGTAAACGGCCATTCCATATGTCCAATGACGCATCTAATGATATCACAAAGGTTTAATCTGGTTATACCTGAAAAAAAAAAAATTTGAAACATTTTTCACCCTATTTCGCTGCACTAGTATCAGAAATCTCATAGACGCAAACGCAAACGGAATCCCGACGTCAAGTTTATAAATTGAGCTTTAGTATTTGAATATTTTGCTGAAACTGCTATTTGTATTTGTGAATGGAAATACTTTTGAAGGATTTGGTATTCAAATACTTTCTGAAAGTATTTAAATACCTACTTTGAGTAGGTATTCAACTACTATTAGAATTATTTAGTAACTTCTGAAAGTAGGTACAGTAGAACTTCGGTAATCCGGACAGATACAGTTCAGGTGGTCGTCCGGATTGTTCCGGATTACTGAAGTTATGCTGATAATGAAGAACAAGTTAATTTTTTAGATTTATACCAACATTAAGTAACTCAAATGTTTCACAAATTAATATATAATATGTATGTATGTACAATAGAAAGTTTCATAGGTATGTAAATTTTGCCGTTGGCTAACAAAAAGAAATATTAAATATTATGTATTTCAATGCAAGAAGTCACAATTCTTTTTGTGTAAGGATCTCGTTGTGGAGCTTTCTTGCTAGTTCTATTTTTTTTTTGGAGATTTTTATTTTTCCCTTGTAAATAAAGAAAAAATTATGACTAGTATTGGGAAACTTAAACCAAAGAAAGCTACTGGTAATGATTGCACACCAGTTTATACAGTGTCCCCCATAATGTTCGCTACATATAGGGAAATTTTTTATTTGTAGGATATGGAATTTTTTCTCATGTGCGATCGATCCTACATTTCCGATAATCCAAAAGTACATTTTGACATTGGTCACGTGATCACTGTTGTGGCGGCAAATTCGAAATTTAGATATGGAAACGCGAAAAGTGGGGTTAGATGGCAAAATTACGAAAAAAGTTATTTGAAAAAAGTGATTAGAACGATGTTTTAGGGCTGCCTGCGAAATTTGGAGGAAAAACAACAAAAAACAGGAAGTTACTTGTTTTTCGCCATGGATCAACTAATATTATACAGTTTTTATTATTGAAATAGTCCAAGTACCTCAATATTTGATGTGTATTGGTAAAAGTCCTAGCGGTACATCAAAAAATCTTGCAAATTGTGATAAAAGCAACAAACTTGGTAAACATGCTTTTAAGACAAGAATAAAACATTTTGCCCGCAGCACCCATCAAAATTCTCATGTGGGCCCATTTATGGGTCCTTGGTGGGCCCATAGTGGGTCATAATTTGAAAAAAAAATTATCGACCAATTTCAATGGGAAAAAACTAATTTTTCGAGTAATTTGGGGATGGTGAATTCAAATTTATGCCTATTAATTAGTTCCAAATAACGGCTGAACCATGAACCCCTAGAGGCAGTTACCTACCTGTATTTATTTTTTATGGTAACTTAAAATCAATATTGGTTAAGGGTCTCATCTTCCGGATCCAGCTGCGGTCTAATTTGAATTTTCGCAAAACAAAAAAAAAATTAATTTAGCTTTCTTTCTCTATGCGTTCTCTTCATTTCCAAAAAAATAATGGTACGATCAGAAAGTTCACCTCTGGTTTGAGCAATCGGCCATACAAGTCTTGCATGCTGGAGTACATACCAAATTGTATCGTCTATAACAAGAGCGCATAGTCCCACAATCTGTTATGCACCCACATCTACCAAGCTCTTTGAAAGCCAACCAAACTGGAGGAAGTTCAGACCACAATGAAACCAGCAAATTCTCAGATTTTTTCCAACCCCATTCCATGGGCCCCATATATGGCCAGCTTGGTAAGATGCCATTCCAATGTGCTCTTTTAGTGCTAAAGAGGACATAGAAATTAGTGTGATAAGTTTGTCACCACGACACAACATCTCCTTTCTTGCTTTATCAATACTTGTAGTGCATGATTGAGGATCATACATTTTAACTGTGAATTCTTCAAGCGCTTGTATATTCATTTCAGAGAGTTGTTCCTCAACTGGCAAAGGCTGTCCCATCCTTGAAAATGCGGTAGTAATATAATCCCCTGTCAAAGCCCCCCACGCGCTTTTTTTCCGTTTAGAAGTAAAGTCACACCCTGTGAAGGCTTGAAATCCACTAAGAGCTGCAGCCTTTTCTACTCCCAAACCATTTGCTATATTGTGAACTGCTATGTACCTTCGCTTGGATCCAACACTAAACTGAATCCACAGTTCTTTTAGACCAGCGAACGGTGAAATGACACAGCAATAACTAATACATCAGTATCTGGGACAGCCTTTTCCTCTTGAGGAACAACTATCTGAGGGCCGGTTTATTCACCTTCTGATAAACTGTCAGGTATGCAATCTGAGGGATAAAAGCACAATATTTAATCCCATATTGGTCGGCTAGGTATCCGCCGACCAATAGAATTGAAGAATGGTTTATTTATCTTGCAGATAGTTACCAGCAAGTTTATCTGAAGATGGGTAAACCGGGCCTGAAATGAATATACAAGCGCTTGAAGAATTCACAGTTAAAATATATGATGCTCAAACATGCACTACTAGTGTTGATAAAGCAAGAAAGGAGATGTTTCGTCAAGGCGACAAACCTGTCACACTAATTCCTACTTCCTCTTCAGCACTAAAAGAGCATATTAAAAGGGTATCTTACCAATCTGGCCATTTCTAGGGCCAAGCACATAATATCGATTGTGTCTTCCATGGAATGGGGTTGGAAGAAATCTGAGAATTTGCTGGTTCCATTGTGGTCTGAACTTCCGCCAGTTCGGTTGGCTCTTAAAGAGCTTGATAGCCTTGATAGAAGTGGGTGCAAAACAGATTATGGGACTATGCGCTGTTATTGTAGACGATACAATTTGGTATGTACTCCAGCATGCAAGACTTGAATGTCCAATTGCTCAAACAAGAGATAAACTATCTGATCGTAATTTTTTTTTTTTCCGTAAATCCAAATATATAGGTATTTGTTTTTGTTTTTAGATCGCAGCTGGATCCGGAAGATGAGACCCTTAACCAATATTGATTATAAGTTAACATAAAAAATAAATACAGGTAACTGCCTCTGAAGGTTCGGGGTTCAGCCGTTATCTGGAACTAATTAATAGCTATAAATTTGAATCCACCATTCTCAAATTACTAGAAAATTCGTTTTTTTCCATTGAAATTGGTCGTCAATTTTTTTTCAAATTATGAGCCACCAAGGACCCAT